AAAAGCAAGGGAAAACACCAACTTTTTGTTAACTGTACCTTGAATTTCTGGGTGTGTGGCCATAAAGAGCAAAGCCCAGCGGAGGGTTGAGGACGTGGTCTCAGTCCCAGCAAACATTAGGTCGAGTGAACAGGCTATGAGGCCTTCCTCCTGGAAGGTGTCACTGTCGTGGTCCTTCAGGAGAAGGTGTGTTAGTGACAGGAACAGTGAGGGTGTCCTGGCACCACCCCAAGGATTTTGACAGAAGCTGCTGACCCCTCGCATCCCCATCCTGCTGATGGGTGGCCTGAACCTGATGTCTGTCCTGAGCTCATAAAAGGCTACACAGGCAGCTCAAATGGAGAATCTGGGCTCGTTTCCCACCCCTTCTGATTTCTAAGCCCCACTCCAGGAGGGTTTTCTCCCAGTTGCTGACCTTGGAGATCTCCAGCAGGTAACTGTCAATGTAGTCCCGGCACTCTGAGGGGTTCCAGTCCTCCTTGTGTTTGTTGATCTGCTCTTGCATAAATTTTTTCAATAACCTCCAGTGTTTAAAAATGGTTTGGTGGGCTCCAGGTAGGTACTTCATTATAGATGGGAAACTGTTGTACAGCTTTGAGCACAAAAGGAGAAAGACAAATTGAATAAACAACTTTAAAAAACTCTTCTGACATCAAGACACTACCTTGCAATTGCATTTGCTGAATTTCTGGAGCTCGTGGAAACAGCTCAGCTCCAGAAGAGGAGAATTCATTATAGGGTAACTTGTGTGTTACCCACTATTTCAGCAGGCAGGTTGGCAATCATTGGGCAGGAAAAGTGATTTTGGGTGAGAGAGAGCAGCGTGAGCATGGCACAACTTGAACAGAAGGAAGAAAGAAATGACAGGAAAATCTACCCTGTGCAAAGGAATAGGGAATGACAGCTTTGGTGACAACAACATTGTGGCTTTTAAGGTTGACTCCAGAGAAGAAACTATGGCCCTGGGTTGGGGCAGGAGGGCTGTACCTGGCTTGTGATAGCTCCATGGAGGGCAGTAATTTCATACATCAGCTTCAGCAGTCTTTGGAAATCCTCATCATGGTAATCAAACCGATTGCCAAAGATAAGGGAGCAAATGACATTTGCAACAGCATTCGTGACTTTAAGCTGAGGGTTGAAAGGGTTCCCTGGAGAAGAAAAAGATCAGTTCTCTTCCACTCCTCTCAGAACAGAAAACACACATCAGAGGTAAAGTAGTCAAGAAATATGAATTAAATGAGTGGCCCCTAATGGGTACTGTCCTGTGTCAGTGCTTTCCTGGGGTGCCTGGCAGACCCCATGAACTGGCCAAGCTTGGCAGGACAACCCCAGTGGTCCCAGTTCAATCAGCTTATGGAGATGTTTGTATACTTCTGAGAACAAGGATGTCAATTGAATTCATTGGAAACATCAGCATTTATGCAACATGGTATTTCCCAGAGAGGAGCAGACTGAAGGTGGGCTGTGAATAATGCTGTGGGTGTTGCCTGGCTGCATTCCCCAGCCAGCTGGAAGGCAAAGCACCTGTAGGAAGGAGCAGGGATGCTGGCAGGGTTGTAGCATTGCTTGCAAGGTGTGGTATTTTTCAGCAGGCAGTGAAATTATAACAGGCCCTACCAGTTCCTGCCTTCACAGCTGCTGAGGGCCATGGCACTCACCCTGTTCATCCCTAAACACATCCACAAGGAACCGGCACTCCTCCTGGATGCGCTCCTCCAGGCTCCTCTTCCCCAGGCCGAAGTTCCGGAGCGTGGACAGGGTGAACCTCCTCTGTGCCTTCCACAGGTGCCCGGTGGAGGAGATCAGTCCTGGCAGGAACACCCCGTGAGCCAGGGCCTATCTCCCTCTGAGGGGGAAAAGCTCCAGGGCTCGCTTTGCCTCGTCTCCAGCTGTTTCAGACCTCTGAGGGTCAAGGCTCGGACCTTGCAGCTGAGGCATCTCTTGAGGGGTAACTCACCGATCTTGCTGAAGATCTCCTCGTCGATGGGAATGTCAGGGCGGTCCATGAACTTGTTCCCTTGGTTTACAAGCACTTCCTTCATCAGCCGCATCCCACTTACTATCACAAACTTCATGCTGCCCATCTGTATGGCGAAGATGTCACCATATCTTTTACGTAGCTGGGAGGGGACATAAGCAAAAGGGGTTTTCATTTGCAATGGGTGTTCCTGGTGAGACCAGCACAGCCCTGCCAGAGGACATGGGTAAAAATAAGGGAATAGTGGGAGGGGAGACAGAATGTGTGCACTCTGCCTGAGGGCATAGTTTTTTCCTTTCCTCTTTTCCTGCATCAGTGATTGGGAGATTGTATTAATTGGCCATAAATCAAGCAAACCTCACCAGGTTTGATTTTTCAGTCCTGTGTTTTTCCAGTTTTTTTTCACCCCATTCCAGCCCCCACTCGGACCTGTCAGGTTTGTACATCTGTGACTGCACCTGTGGGATCGTGCTGTGACCTTTGCCCGTGGAATCACTCCGCCCTTCTCACCCTGCTTGTACTCAGGTAAGTGCCACGGATGAGGCCAAACCTCCTGCCTGCCTTCACTGCCTGTGGGGTTTGGGTTATCCTTTTCCCTGCACGGCTGAGGATGTGTAGCTGCAGTCCCTCCATCCCCTTCCCATGCTGCTCACCACCTGCATACCTTCTGCACTGTGACTGCAGGATCTTTGAAGTCTAAGAGGTAGATGTGCCCCACGAAGGGCAGGCAGAAGGGAGTGGGAGGGAAATTCTTTGGATTTCTGCTCTTCATGTAGTCTGCGACGAGCAGGAAGATGAAGAGAAAGATGAGGAATGTCTGGAGGGAGATGCTGTCCCAGAGGAAGTGCAGCATGGCTGGATGGTGGGGCTCTGCAGGGACGTGTCCCACAGCAGGTCAGGCAGGTTGAGCTCACAGGGCACCACTGAGGCCCCCAGGGCCAGGGGGAGATGGGTGATGAGCTGGCACAGCTGTGGGTGCAAACACAGGACAGCAAGGAGTGGCTTTTGCTGCTTGCTCTCAAGGCTACATTCAGACGCCTGCTTTCCCAGCTTTCAGAAAGGATTAAACTGAAACATTCCCTCTCATCTGGTTTAAAACAAACCCACCACAAACCAGAACACCCTCAGCTTCCCCCTTCCCCCCCAGCCTCCTCTCAGTACTTCACTAAACCCCAGTGCTCCATGTCCTTGTCTGAAGGACAGAAATGAGCTTTGTGGGACTGAGATTAAAAGCTGGCAGTTTGAGCATGCAGCTCCCACAAACCCATCTCTCAGGATGCCCCTGCTCCCTCCTTCCCAGGTGCCCTCACCGTGCTAGGTCCCAGTTTCAGCTCCTTAGTGCCAGGGAGTCTCCAGCTGCTCCGAGAGCCTCGTGCTTTCCTTGTTTATAGCAGCTCGCTTCCTGATATGAGGAGTCCTGGGCCAAGCCCCAGGTCTCAGGGGACACCCGAGATAAGGTTGCACAACCTTTCACAAACCATCTGAGTGAGTTTCCTGTTTCGTGTGTCTGGGTGACGTGGGCTGGAAGTAAACAGCTGTCCCGGAACTCGGCGCTTCCCAAGCACCAACATTTTCTGATCTCCACCAGAGGAGTGCAGGCAGAGCAGCTGGCTCCAGCCGTGCCCTGAGCTCTCCAGCCATCCCTTCCCACTTGTCCTTTGGGTCACAGCCCACGGGGAAGCTGCTCCCAAAGCCCCACAGAGCTGATGAAGGTGCTGAGAAGCCGATGCAGATGCCCAGCTCTGCAGGCTGGGGCCCTTTGGTGGGAGCTGGCAGCAGAATGTGCTGCATTTTCCCACCCAGGAGCAGCTCTGGGCTGGGGAGGTGATCATGCACATGGACCACGTGGAATTTTAATGTGTTTGTTGTGTTTTGCTGTGAAAGAAGCAGGGAGAAGCAGCACTTTTCCCTTGCATCACATGGCTCTGTCACAGCCCCGTGCAGTCATCAGCTGCCACCTCCTGTTCTGGGGGACATTTTGGGTGACTTTTCTCTCTTTTGGGGCCATCAGTTGTGGCTGTTGGGATTGTCCAGTGCTGATGACAAGGACAGAGGTGCAGCAGAGCCACTGTTGTGATGCTGTACACATGTTCTCCATAACCTTACACTTGGGAAGCTGGAGAAGGCAAATCTCTGTTTTACTGTGGAATCTTAAGGGGAGAAGCCTGCTTTTGAGAATAGCTCTTTTCACCTCTGGTTTTTAAGCACACTTAGGCATGAGCCCCTGGAGATGCATGTTCGCCAGCAGAGACATGAGAGGATACACTTGAAAATTAAATAAATTCATGCCTCCTGCCTTTAAGGTATGGTACCACTGCATTTAACTAAAAAGAAAAAAAAAAGAAAAAAAAAGAAAAAGAAAAGAAGATCACTTCAATAATTTATTCTCTTCAGGAGTAGGAGAGGAAACGAAAAGTAACGAAGAAACACAGGTTGGAAATGAAACAGAGAAACAGAGAAGAGATCAATATTAATTTGCTAAGCCAGTGCAAATAATACAAGCTGCAGCCACAAGCCAGAGGTCAGACCTACAGCAGAAGGAACACAGAAACGGAGAGAAACCAGTGCCTAGTCCCGAGTGGTGTTGAAGACTTCAGAGGTGAAAAAGTCCCTGTATCTTTTATGTTTTCTCTTTTACAAAAACAAAACCACAACATGGGAGCCCGTGACTGTGAAGCAATAATTAAAAACGCAATAGGATTAAAGTGATCAGTGGGAAGGACAGCTCAGTGACAGAATCCCCGTGTGCCTGGTGAGGCAGGGATGTGATGTGCAGAGGACTCTCCCCTGTGGCATAAATCTGCCACTGCACGGGGATTGCTTTGTACCGCAGCAAAGCTGCTACTGCCGGGGACAGAGAAGAAAACCACTGGAAACGAAACTCGATGTAATCCTCTTTTCCTGTTAACTATTCCACATCCTACGTGGGTACCCACAGAAAAGTGACTATGAAAGGTGAGAAGCAAAAAAACCCCAAAAAAACAAAAAAAAAAAAGAAGAACAAGCTTTGCTATGACACTTATGAAAGGTGAGAAGCAAAAAACCAAAAAACAAAAACAGGAAGAAGAAGAATCTTTGCTATGACTATAGTCCGAACTGAAGCACACAGGAGACAGCATTTCTAAGCACAAATACTTGGTCACATAAACAGAAAAATTCTCTGCAAGTTGCATATTTAATTAACTCATATCCAGAGAGGCCTGGCATAGGAAGAAGCTGTGTCCATGGTGCAGGGTGCCCTGTCCCAGCCGCTTCCTCACCCCACTGTCCATGCTGGTCACACAGACACAAATCCTTGCCAGAAGCAGAGGGGAAGTGCTGAACTCATGACTTCCCACCACAAAGCCACTGTTCCAACACTTCCTTCCTGAGGGGCAGGGCTGAGCCACCATGGGCATGACCCTTCCAGCTCTCTGCTGTTCCCTTTCTGCTGCACTTCAGGTGAACTGCTCCCCAGCAACCCCAGGGGATTATTTTGTTGCAGCTTTTCTGATTTGTATTTTACTAGCACAAACCTTTTGGTTTTCTAATATAAAATTGCTGTGTCTTATTTTTATAGCCCTCCAGACCTGCTGGAAGCACCTTGTGCCATCCCACTTGGGTTGGGCTTTGGTAGAAGCTCCTTTTACTCCCCTGTAGCCTCCTAATTAAAATTCCCATATACCCTTTGAGATCCAAAAAAATGCTTGCTGCTGCTTCAGAGATCTCTGCTTAGATATATTTTATCCCTGGAAGTGTCCAAGGCCAGGTGGGATGGGGCTTGGAGCAACCTGATTTTGTGGAAGGTGTCCCTGCCCATGGCAGAGGGGTTGATCTTTAAGGTGCCTTTCAAGCCAAACTATTCCTCGATTCTGTGATTTCCATCACACAGCAGCAATGTGGTGCTGTAGGGAATGTCCACCACCCTGAGCCCAAGCCCACCGGAGGCTCAGGATCGGCTGTGGCCACCCAAAAGTCCAAACTGAGGCTGGGTCATGAGTCCAGAGCTTGTGTCCCAGGCCAGCAGCTCTGAGCGGGGACACTTCAGGAGCCCTTGGCTGTTTAGGTGCTGCAGCATTAGGGGCTGCTAAGCGGTCTCTGGGTGATGGACATGTTCCCCACAGAAAAGTCAACATCAAACCATGCTTTTGCAGCTGGCAGACACCTTCCTGGGAATTGCTGACAGTGGAAATGAGGTAATAAGGCTTTTAAATCCATGCATTTTGTCAGACTGGTAGCGGGGAGCAGGAATGAGGTGAAGAGCCACAAGGGTTGTGTTTGCTGTGGCCTTTGCGCCCTTCCCCTGCCTCCCAGATGCTGGCAAGTGCTGGACCTCCAGGGCCTATCATTTCAGCCCAAAATCTCAGTCAGGAGAGGGGATTTCCCAGTTTGGGGGGCCGTGGGGCAGCCCCAGGCCTGGCTCAGTGCCAGGGCAGGGCGCAGAGCTGGAAGGGCTTGGGGCAGCGCGTGAGGCTGAGCGTGAAGGCGAAGGACAGCGCGGCCGCTGCTGGGGCCTGGAAGGTGAACTTCTGCAGCAGGGCCACGAAGAAGATGAAGAGCTCGGTCCTGGCGAGCTGCTCCCCGGGACAAGCCCTCTTGCCTGGAAAAGGAGCACAAAGAACCCGAGAGAGTCCCGAGTGAGCTCCAGCCAGCTCCGAGCCTCCTCCGGCCCGCGCCGCCTTGCACAGGCTGCAGCAGCTTTTCTTCCTGGAAAGGTTAGGTGGCAATGTTCACCCACACAATCTGCTCAAACCTTCCCAGAAGTTTACTGCCGAGCAAACTGCGCCTGTTCCGAGAGGCGAAGAGTGGAAACTGTCTGAACAACCCGGTTATGTAACTTCTGCAAGAAGAAAAAGCCTTTTTCTTTTTCTTTTTCTTCTTCTTCTTCTTTTTTTTTTAATCCTGCAGTAACAAATTGATTTCCTCCCTGCTCCGAGCAGCCTCTATTAACTGTGACTGGGATTTTCACTGTGGGGATGGGCTGGAAGCTGAACAGGAGCGGTACCCCCTACTCTATAAGCAGAGTCTTTTGGGGAAAAAATAAAAGCCTTGCAAAAAGAAAAGCCACCTCCCCATCGATCACCCTACCTGCAGAGAAGGGCAGAAAAGCCTCCCGCCTCCTGTACTGGCCGTTTTCCAGGAAATGTTCAGGATTAAAGGTGTCTGGAGTCTCCCACACGTTTTTGTCGAACATTATTGAAGTCAGGCTGGTCATCAGGGTGGTGCCCTGAGAGAGGAGGAGAAAAGGGGCGATTACACAGCGGAGAGGAGCTGAAATGTTGTCAGACTGGGTTATTATTAGCTCTGTAAACTACACTGTTTTAAGGGCAAAACGGGCTTTTTTCCCCCCTAAGCCATGTAATTAAATGAGGATGAAATCTGGCAGGACTGTTCACTTGTGTGTGCCTTTACAGATCACCAATCGTTGATCTCCATCCTCAGCTGCAGTAACAGGTGATGTTAATGCAAAGCAACTTTAAATTGGTAGCACTGCATTCCCACAGGACCTTGAAGCAATTTAATCAAGTAATTTTCAATTGATTTGTTTAAATGTGTTTTTTTAGAAAAAAAATTAAACTGATCTGGTTTATCTCCACATTCTCCCATCAGCAAGAGAAATATTCTAATCAATGTGGAGGAAAATGCCTGGATTTTTAACATTTGCCTCATTGCAACCAGTCATATATAGGGAAGAGACCAGTTATATAAATCCCATATTTGCTTTTGTAATTGCAGAACAGTGTGTGTGAAACAATACTCATTACCTGCCCTTCATCAAGTGCTACTTTTAATAGAGGGTTATTAATGTTGTGTAGAATTAACAAACCCAGACTCTTTGCTTTCCTATCTTTCTGTTATTCCTGTAATGTGTTGAGGGTGTCTTACAAAATTTAAGGCATAAACCTTTTAAAATTGGCAATTTCAGCCAACACCATGAGGATCTCACAATTCTCCTCTGTAAGGAGGTGAGACCTATAACAGCCCCACGGAATCCATCAAGAGGATTTGTATTTTCTATATAATTGTGATATTTCTGTAAGATCCTGCTGGTTGGTTCCCCTCCAGGTGAGATTTGGGGCTTGGGCTGTGAAGACCCTGCTCTGGTGGGATGAAGGCTGTTGGGATGAAGGCTGATAGGATGAAGGCTGATAAGGATGAACATGAAGGCTGGTAGGATGGAGACTGCTGGGATGAAGGCTGTTGGGATGAAGGCTGATAGGATAAAGGCTGTTGGGATGAAGGCTGATAGGATGAAGGCTGATAAGGATGAACATGAAGGCTGGTAGGATGGAGACTGCTGGGATGAAGGCTGTTGGGATGAAGGCTGGTGGGATGAAGGCCGGAGGGATGAAGACTGGTGGGACAAAGGCTGGTGGGACGAAGGCCAGTAGTCCCCACGCACTTTGGGCAGGTGGAAGCCAGCCAGGGTGGTGTCGCTGGTGGCCATGCGGGGCACCCCCAGGGGCACCACGTTGCCCACGCGCAGCACCTCGCTCAGCACGGCGCTGGTGTAGGGCATCTCCTCCTTGTCGGCCATCGAGGGCTGCCGGCACTGCCCGACCACGGCGTCGATCTCCTGCTGCACTTTCTCTACAGGGAGAAAAAATAATTCGAAGTATCCCTCTTCATAGAATTTTTAGGGTTGGAGAAGCCCTCTTAAATGATCAAGTCCAACCATTAAACCGGCACTGCCAGGCCATCACCAAACCATGTCCCCAAGTGCCACATCCACACTCCTTTTAAACACTTCCAGGGTGATTTCACCACTCCTCTGGGCAGACTGTTCCAGAGCTGGACAACCTTTTCAGTGAAGAAATTTTCCCTAACATCCAACTAGGAAGGCTAGTGGGAGGAAGGCTGTTGGGATGAAGGCCAATGGGATGAAGGCCAGTAGGATGAAGGCCAGTGGGATGAAGGCCGGTGGGACGAAAGCTTATGGGATGAAGGCCGGTGGGATGAAGGCTGTTGGGTTGAAGGCCAGTGGGATGAAGGCCAGTGGGATGAAGGCTGGTGGGACGAAAGCTTATGGGATGAAGGCTGGTGGGATGAAGGCCGGAGGGATGAAGACTGGTGGGACAAAGGCTGGTGGGACGAAGGCCAGTAGTCCCCACGCACTTTGGGCAGGTGGAAGCCGGCCAGGGTGGTGTCGCTGGTGGCCATGCGGGGCACCCCCAGGGGCACCACGTTGCCCACGCGCAGCACCTCGCTCAGCACGGCGCTGGTGTAGGGCATCTCCTCCTTGTCGGCCATCGAGGGCTGCCGGCACTGCCCGACCACGGCGTCGATCTCCTGCTGCACTTTCTCTACAGGGAGAAAAAATAATTCGAAGTATCCCTCTTCATAGAATTTTTAGGGTTGGAGAAGCCCTCTTAAATGATCAAGTCCAACCATTAAACCAGCACTGCCAGGCCATCACCAAACCATGTCCCCAAGTGCCACATCCACACTCCTTTTAAACACTTCCAGGGTGATTTCACCACTCCTCTGGGCAGACTGTTCCAGAAGAACCAACTGTTTCAGTGAAGAAATTTTCCCTAACATCCAACTTAAACCTCTCCTGCCACAACCTCAGGCCATTTTCCTTTGTCACTGAGCCCCACCTGGTTGCACCCTCCTTTCAGGGAGTTGTAGAGCATGAGAAGGTCCCCCCTCAGCCTCCTTTTTTCTGGGCTAAACACTCCCTGTTCCCTCAACAGCTTCTCCTGAGACTTGTCTTCAAAAGGTTCCCAAGAGGATGCCTGGGGCACAGGCACATCCAAGATGTGGCAGAGCTGGGATAACTCTGTTCCCTGAGTTTTCCTTTCCTAATTTTGGGCTAAGCAAAGGACCCCTCAGTGGCCCTACCCTGAATGTGGGGGTACGCAGCCATGTAGAGCAGGGCCCAGCGGATGGCGGTCGCTGTTGTCTCTGTCCCAGTTAAGAACAGGTCCAAGGTGGAGCACAGCAGATTTTCCTCATGGAAATGGGAGCTGGTGTCACCTTTAAACTTGGAGGAAAAACATAGCAATGAAAGCTCTTACTCTTTTAAAACCCAATCCAAAATCACTTGTGTGTAACTGAAGTCCTACTGCTCCTTTATTATCTACACCTGGACTTGGAAATTTCCAGCCTGTACTTTCACTGGATTTCAAGTCCTATGGACTGTTTTGACAGACACCCTGGTTGCTGTAGAGTGGCTCTTGAAAGCAGGTAGCATTTTTAAATGTCAAGTTTCACAATAGCAAACACAGGCGTGTGAGTGCTCACAGAAACATGAACATGTTCCCTGAGAGTCCTCCTACGCCGTGTGACAGAACGAAAAAGGGAGGAAGACAAAGTGTAAATCCTTTCAAATGGAAAAAAAAAATCTGTGTTTTTCTAAGTGATCAGGCTTCTGCTGCTGCTAAAGTTTGATGTGGCAGAGGTAGGGAGGGGAAGGCAACGTGTGAGGGAAGAGCTCCCCTGACAAAACAGCCCTGAATCTTCTCTGCTCATTCTATGGGTTAGTCTTTAGGTTGTTTTAGTTATTTTATTCCTACCTTTTCTATTTCCTTCAGGTAACAGCCAATATAATCTCCTGCCTCGGACTGGTCCAAATCCTCCTTGTGCTTTGCAATCACGCCTTTCACAAAATATTGAAGTTTCTCCCAGTGCCTGAAGATTTTCCTGAAAGGTCCTGGCAACCATCTCATGATGAGAGGAAAAGCATTATAGAGCTGGTAAGAAATCAAACAGAGCAAAAGAGCATTTTTTGAGTTAGAAAAAAGCAGGTATCATAGTTGAGAGGATGGGACTCTCAATTAATTGATTAACTCTGCTTGCTACCATGAAATAAATCATCCTTGCTGTAACAGTCCAATTTGTACAAATTTACTTACACAGGTGTAAATAAGTGCAAACAAGATAAGAATTGGACAGATATTTTCTGCTGATAAAGTTCTCAAATACTGAGTGGCCAGAGCTGCTCCCTAATGTGAGGTGGCCACAGGTGAGGTAGATGCAGATGAGCCCCTTCATGTGTCCCCATGGTGGGCACAGAGATCAGACCATGGTGTGTGGCCACACAGGAAATACATCACCAAATCCACCTATTTTGTTTCTAAACCTGGAATCTCAATTTTTTTTCATAAATAGAAGTTATTTAAGAAACTGGTTGGGATATGGGTGTGGGAAAAGTTAGGAATTTTCACAGTGTTACTAGTTCTTTTTAGATTTTCTTTTAAGATTTTCCTGTTGTTTTTTGGTTATGTCAGGCATAACATTGGTTTTGCAATCCTGTAGTGTTTTGGTTTTTTTAAAATTCCATGCGTCCCAATAATTTTAGCTTATTTCCTTGCTTTCCTGATAGGATTTGTGTATAAATCCAATCTAATGTAAAACAATTCTCCTGGTCATTTTCCTTTAAACATGGCTCTTTTTCTACAGGAAAAGGCAGATTACACCAGTGCCTTAGAAACCCCAGTTTCTGAGCTGTTCCGTGCAGCTGAAGCTGGAAAAATATCCAAGTGGCTTTACCTGGCCCCAGAAACTTCCGATGAGCAGCAGCGTTTCAGCCAGGGAGTGCAGCAGTTCCTGGAAACGGTTGTCATGGTAGTCAAAGCGGTTCCCAAAAGTTATGGAACAGATGATGTTCGAAACGGCACTGTTGATTTTGTAATGAGGGTCAAAGGGCTGTCCTGGAGGAAAGAAAAGGAAAGGAAACTGCCTGAAGGGAGGTTTGGCCGGGTGGGAGTTGGTCTTGTCTCCCAAGGAACAAGGGATAAGAGAAATCAGCCACAAGTTGTGCCAGAGGAGATTTTGACTGGATGTGGGGGAAAATGTCTTCATTTGAAAGGATGGCTTTGGAAGGGCTGCCCAGGGCAGTGGTGGAGTCACCATTCCTGGAGTGTTTGAAAGGTGTGTGGATGTGGCATTTGGGCCATGGTTTACTGGTGAACACGGCAGTGCTGGGTTAATGTTTGGACTCAATGAACTCAAGTATCTTTTCCAACATAAATCTCTCCACGATTCTGCGATTCTGAAGCTTTCATTTGTTTTTCCTGTTCAGTCTCAGTCAAAACCATATTCTCTATCAGATCCACAGCTGTGAAGCAGAGTGAGACCTGCTTCTCACCCATGGTAGTTTCACCCCACGTCCTGGGGTACCCACCACCCCATCACCTCCAGCATCCCGCTGGAGCCTGGGCACTATGGGCCAGGACATCCCGTCCTGTGTCCAGCCCAGGCTGTTGGCAGGCAGTGGCATTAGCAGTGAGCTGCCCAAGCAGGGTCTGAGGCATTTTCCAGGGAAAACAACCAGCAGCATGCCATGCTATGGCTGTCAACTTTGCAGCTCCAACTTGTGTTTGGTGCCAATTTTAAACACCAGGAGAGTGTCCCTCAAAGCTTTGCCCAGGGCAGGGAGCCCAGGACAGCCACACTGCAAAAATAGCATTGCCCTGGGCTTTAGTTGTGCACCATGAAGAAATCAAGGGAGCTGAAGGAGAGAGGGGAGAGGGTTTCAGATCCCTGTGCCCACCTGTAAACCCCAGCAATAGCTCATGTGGTCCACAGAGCCCGTTTATAAAGTGAACTGTGATGTGATGCTTGTCACATCTGCGTTCCCTGAGAGAGTTACTGAGCAGAGACCTTCATCTCCTCGGGCACATTTCAGCAGCCTGGAGAGCCACTTGCTGTGACAAGAGACTGATCTCAGTGACAAGCCCAGTCCAGCCCTGAGCTGCTGTTGAGCATCACTTTGAAATGCAAGGCACTCCTCGCAGCACTGCTGCTCTCTCCACTCTTCAAGAAAGTAATTAAACCGGGCTGGTGCTCAGATATCAGAGTGATGGACATGATCTCTATTTGTCATTACTAATGGGAAGAAAGGCCCAAACCAGCAGCTTAATTAGTTTATTGATTAGGACTATAGAAGACTATAATCAATTGGCAACATGGAGTATTTGGCCTGTTCAGTGCAACAGCAATTAAAATGGAGCAAGTTTAGTATATAATTTCACAATTCCTTTTTAGATCTTTCTTGTTTACTATATATAGCTCCATAGAATTAGCTCAACCCCATCTGCTTCTATTTAAAGCTGAAGTGCAACATCACCCATGTACCAACATACAAATTATTCTTACTAATATCCCTCTGGCAGTTTTTAAAAGCTGGACCATAAAAGAGCAAGGCACACGCTTCATCTGTGTGTGATACAAAAGGAAAGCCTGACTAAACAAGTTTTAAAATACTTTGCAAAACCAAGGACAAGCAGAGGTTAACTAAGCCTCTGAGGGGAAGTGCCTGATGGCAGGAGAGCTGCATTTATTCCTTCACAGAATGCACGAGACACTTCCTTAGCCACGTAAACACTCATGTTTTAATAACTACCTAGTATATATTTGGTTAATATTAATAAGGAACAACTAAAATAGGAGGCCTGAGGTCTAAAATAATTGCTAAAAGGCACAGTCTGGAAGTGTAAGATAGAGATTTGAGCTATTGAAGAAATGTTTTGCCCGTTTGGAGCTGTGCTGGGGTAAGAGTTTTACTTCTCATCATTCATTTAGCTGGAAGCTCTGAGCACAGTGTTGTGCATTAACCCCCACCTTTCTCCTCTTCAATTGTCTCCACGAGGTACCGACTCTCCTCTTGCACTTTTTCCTCAAAATTTACAGCAAGGCTTTTCAGTGTTGCTAAAGCAAACTTTCTCTGCTGCCTCCATATGTGCCCGTTGGATGATATGAGCCCTGTAGGTGGAAAAACAGGTGAACAATCCTCTCTCTGGGTCATTTGTGAGTGTTGGGATTCTGAAACCACGTCCATTCCTCATGGACAAAAACCCCAAACCAAGGCAAAGAAAGCTTGTGGATGTGGAAAAGGCTATGGCTTTGCCTGGGAATTAAAATTCAAGAGTAATTGGCTTATGCTAAAGATCTAGCTTTATGGATTTGCTTTAATCTGCTACTTTGTCACTTTGCGTGGGAAAAAAAGGTGTAAGCCAAAATACTCTGAGTACTATCACGCTGTTGGCAGAGCTGCAGGCAGGAGCACCCCGTCTCTGGAGCTGTGTGCTACCCAGGCAGGAAAAGTAAAGGAGAAATTAAACCCCGGGGGAAACGCTGCAAGTGTATAGATTTTGGGCAGCTTGCGTTTATTTTTCCTCTTTCATTAAAATCTGGTTTTGAGCCCATCCTCATCCCTAAATCTCACAGAGATTAAAACATACCCCTGTGAGATTATTAGCAGTCTTGCCTTCCCCTGTGCAGACTTTCACAGGTGCAGCTCACAAGGGTTGAATTCAGCCAGTTTCTTTCCCTCTAACAGTTATCATTCCAAAGAGGTGGAAGTTTTGTCCCAAAATCCTTGTAGCTGTGCTTACCAAAGCCTCTAAATATTTCTTGGAGGAGTGGAATGTTTGGCCGGTCAGCAAATATTTCAGCCTGGTGGACAAGAGCTTCTCTCACCATCTGGTACCCGTTGACAACCACGAATGTCAGACTCCCAAACTGCACGCTGAAGATGTTCCCGTACCGACCCGTAAGCTGAAAGAGAGGCCATTGTCCTCTGAGAAAAAGGAGATGGGGATTTTCAAATCTCACCAGGCCAAGACCTTGAACAGGGAAATCTGACTTTGAATTTAACCCTGCTTGAAGCAAAGGGACTTTAGAGAAACCCAAACCCAAGCATGCATGTCCCATCAAATCTCAGCTACTCTGTGAAGGCTGCAGAAGGCATAAAAAGGCTGGACAGCTGTAGTGTGGGAGAGGTGGATTGCTTATATTTGTTATCTGGTGTGACCTGGGCTTGACCAGGTGTTTACATCAGTTTGGCTTGTGACAAGGATGTAAGTTGCATTGTAACTGATTGGCATCTGCTCTGTCCCTTTTTGTCCCACCACCTGGGTCACCACACTCAGGCTCTTCCTGCTGAGGGCAATGCACAACAAATTATCCCTTTCATCACCTTTGTGTCTAGAGTAGTGTGGTTTCTTCTCCAGCTCTCCCATTTAGACAGGAGCTCTAACTGCTTATTGCTAGACACGTACTTCTAATTTTAAGGCTGACTGCATTTATGGCCAAATTGCAGCCATTTTCCTTGCATGGACTTTGCTGGCATTAGTGTCTCCTCTGAGATGTATAAGGGTAAAAGGGGGATCATATCTTCTCTCTGTCAAGGAGCTCATCCTCTTCTTAGAATGACTCTACATGTAAGGACACACAGGGTCACCCCAAACTGCTGTGGTGACTTGTGAAAGCAGCCTTGGACCAAATGGGTGTCTCAGTCATTGTGTGCTTGTAAATAAATAAATAAAATGCTTTTGCTAAGCAAAACCAAGAGACAAATAGTCACCAGAAAGGATTTTTGCAGTCAGCATGTCAGAACTTCTTCCACCTTTTCAGAGAGGAATACTCAGCATGTATAAAATCTCTCTCTTTTTGTCTCTGGTGGAAGTCAAAGCTTTACAGAGGGATCACTACCTCTTTCTGCAGCACAGAAGAAGCCACAGGACATAACGCAGGATTTTAAATGTTTCAGATGTGGTGGAGTGAATTGTTGGCTTCTTGGCAAAGACAATGACAGGACAATTTTCAGAGGTGATCTCCAAATAGCCCAGCTGTCACACAGCACTTTTCACCTGTCCCCCAGCCTGGCCCAGCCCTTCTGAGCCCTTTCTGAGGTCCAGAAGGAAATGGTCACAGTCAGATGGGAAGAAAAAGGAGGAACATATAGGTCTTCCTCCGTTATGGATTTCTTTCCCATTGGACCATCCTACTGCCCTGGAAGAGGAGCTGATAGTGAGAGATAAAACCATCTATCTCATGTGGTTATTATATACCCAGCTCTGCAGAGGCTGCCCTTGCTGCTTCTCAGGGTGGCAGTAAGAGTCATGGAAGGGTAAGATATTGTTAGTAGGGAAAATGTCCATGGAGCTCTTACCTTCTGCAGTGCAAGATGGAGGGGCTGCTTAAAGTCCACAAAGGTTCCCACGAGAGGAAAGAGCTGTGGCCCTGGAGGGAAATTCCTGGGTCGTCTCTTTTTCACTAGGTCAACAATCAAAAAAGATGTGACCAGAACCACCAAGAGCATCCGACCATTCAGCTTCTTCAAGAAAGATACAAAATCAGGCCAAAACTGAAGCTCCATCTTGGCCAATGAACTCGCAGGTTTTCATCCCAGGAAAGGACTTGATTCTGGTGTTACATTTGCTAAAACAAGAGTAAGCAACGACTGGAGAAGAAACAAAAAAAGCTAAAATGCTGATAGCTGACTGGAAGCTGCTTTTCCATATACAGCTGCTGCCAGACCACCTGCTGAATAACTAACTTTAAACACCAGGATCTCCAAAAGCAACCCTGAAACCTCACAACAATTGGCCAACCAAAAGCAATCTTGCAAACCTTGAGCTTTACATCTCTGCCAACTCCCTAATTTTCTTATGGAAGAGCATTCCTCCCTTTTGCCCTGAACAAGGGTCTCCTTTATACGGGCACCCCGCTGGGATTATCAGCACAGCAAACATTCGAGGTGAGGTGAAAGCAGCTTATGGGGCTGATCACATGTGGTGGCGTCGCGCGGTTTCGGGGCTGGTGAGGCATCTGAGGTGATGGACACCACACAAGGGGCTGAGGGGCTGATCCTGTTAAGTGCTAAGCACCATCTGCAAAGGGCTGGGTACCTTCAGGGCCCACCAAAGCCTTCCTGGCTTTGCCGGATCCATCAGGAGAGGTTCAGACAAGGGAAGAGCTGCCGGGGCCCAGGACTCTCCCAGCCGCACAAATGAGAGTTAAAGGAGCTTAATTTCAAGAGTGAGAACATAGGCTCATGTGCTTGCCATGGGATTGGAACTTATGCATTTAAATCTCCTGGGTTTTCTGAAAATCTCCTTTGAATAAAGCTTCACGCTGTCCTGGGGGAAGGCTGCAGTGGACTGACAGTGACCTCTATGACTTGGAATCAATCTTGTGTCACCTGCTGATATTTAGCTACAACTTGGTTCCAGCTCTCTCTTTCCTTGTTTTTTTTTTTTTTTTTTCCCTTTTACAAAGAATCTAAATTTATACTAAAGCGAAACTGTAAATAATGAGTTTTAAAATTATTTGTCTAGAACAATGTGATAAATTCTGAAGGATGGTCAATTTTTACTGTCATGGAATCCTATGATGGTTTGTGTTGAATGGGAACTTAAAGATCCTCTGGTTCCAATCTCCTGCCATGGGCAGGGGTGCTGTGTCTTCAGTTTTAGAGAAAGCTTTAATTTTTAAGGAAAAAAGTGCAGTTTTCATAAGAAACAATAGTTGGGAGAAAAAATCGGGTATTCTCTAGTCTTTCACCATTTTAAAAAGCTTTGCTATCCCTGTCTTTCATTATCTTAGAAGCACAAGCAGGCTATCTGACAGACCTGCACCTTGGCTGTAGCAGGAGTCTTTTTTAGGGGCGATAGCTATCTCCACTCCACCCTTCTTGCTCTGAAATATTATTTACAGGCTCCCAGATGGGATTAGGCAGCAAACAGGGAACAGCAATGGGAGAAACATCTCACATGCCTTGTGTACAGAGCACATTTTCCGTGCCCATGGCACAGCTGTGAGCAGCAGTGGTTGGATGTGCTGTGCTTCTCCTGCTGCTGGCGCACCCACGGCGCTCCTGTGCCTTTTGCGTCCACGCACCTCTTCCAGCCTTCCTGGTGTGGCAAGCCAAGCCTGGCTCACCAGAGGCTAAATCAGGATAGCAGGCTCGTGCTCCTCATGCTGGCACCGGGGAGATGACTCGGTTGGTGGAGGTGTCAGCCTACAGCATGCTCAGAGGGACTGTGATGATAAGGCGTCAACTTCTGCTAGCCCAGTTTCACTCCTCTGTTCCTCGCTGTGCCATATGATTTGTCAGCATGCACAGAGTGCAGATCCCTCTACCACTTGTGGCTGCTGTGAATCGGGCTACGTGCAAAGCCAAGGTGTTAATGTGTTCTTCTGGGTGGTGTTGTGGGGGTGGGTGCATCGTGGTTGACAGGAGAAATGTTATTTTTAGCAGGAGGAGCACATTCTGCATGTACTCACATGTGTCTTGTCAGTCAGAAACCTCAAGTCTATTCCTTTGCCTTGAAGCTTCACATGTCCAAATGCATCCCCTCACAAAGTTCTTAGCACGCCAGATTTACAAAGAATTAGGCAAGAGGCTTCCAGTATTACCAAGGCTCTCCTAACCTTGGCAGACAGTAACATCAGCATGTTATCAAACTCTGGTGGTTCTATTTCAGATCCCAGGCTTTAATCAACCCAGTTCTCAGCACGTGGTGATGTGCAAATCCCCAAAGCACTGAGGAAGTCAAATCATCATGGCACATGGGCAGTGCAGAGGGTGTTGGACAACTCCAGTCTCTGCAGTGTTGACAAGATCCTTATCTGTAAGGTCCTGGTCACCTGCAGGATGAACCTGTTCCTCTGGCCAGCACCATGAATGCTGGAACTTTGGTCTTCTGCAGATCAAATAACTCAAATTTGAATTCATAAGAGGATGTGCACCTACACATCTACTAGGGAACAGGATGTAGACCCACATTCCCTCAATTTCTCCTCAAATACCTCCCCTGATGCCAGTACACAGCTTTTGACCACCTCACCTGAGCTCAAGGATACCACACAGATAAATTGTGCCATATTGCATGGACAGGCACACATCACTGCCTGAATATTAAGGCATCTTGAACAGCCAAGAGACAGAAATTGGCCCATATGCTTTGTACCTTCTTCCCTGGCTAGATGTCTAACTGTGTGCAGAAGGTTTTGAAACACAAAGAGAAACATTCTGTTAAAAATGCAATTACCATTTGTTTTTCAAGATATAGTATCCCATTATTTTTTCCAGAGAAGTGAAATTCAATAAGGTTACAACAGAATGTAGTCCAACAGTTACCGTACTTTCAGAGCATTATTTAAGCTACAGAATTTCTTAATGATTAGAAACATATGTAGGAAAAATCACATGCAAAATGAGAATGACTGGAGACAATTTTCCCCCAAAACACTTTTTTTCAGGCAAGTAACAGCTCATCCACCACTGTTGTTCCATCCATCACGTTGGAGGTGTGAGACTCCCACCCACCTGGGGAGCCGCGTGCTCAGGTCACGTCAACAAACAGGCTCAGCAAAGTCCAAGGACCCATCCTGATTCCCAGCAAGGAATATTTTGCTGTTTCTCTCTTCTTTATGTCAGACCCAAGGAAGTGAGGCCATTTTCACCACGAGCAAGCTCTTGAACAGCAGCGACCAGCCTGATATCTGTCTTAATGCCTTCTTCATGTTCCAGAAGGTTTTCTCGCAGGTGCAGCTGCTGTTTCATGGTCCAGCACAGGTGAGTCTTCATGAACCTGGACTCAATGGCAGATTAGGACACTCATTTCCTTTCAGGATTTACTTTACTGGATCAAATTAATTCTACAGGGGATTTGTAATTTCAGACAGCCAGGAATGGAGAGTGCTGGGGTACCCATACCTCCTGGAGTAAACTTGGGAAAGACATGGTTGAACTCACTTAGGCTAAAGGCCCCACTTGGGGTGATTTCATTGGGACATAAGGGCTCCCACTCCCAGGCTTTGGCTTCAATGCCCTGAATTGGGAAGCCAAGTCCATATTTACTGCTCTGTGTGTGTGTGCTGAATACTAAAGTGCCTCAGTTTTGCATCTTCTCTCTCTCCTCCCTCACCCAGAGTAGGTGCAAGTGATCTCTAGGTTTTCCTGGGACCATGGAACTCTCACCTGTAACCTCCTGTCCACAACATTTCCAGTGCTCATTAGAGCTCCAAGTCAGGGAGCTGTCACCAGGAATGGGCAAACTGAGGCACTACGAGCCTAAACCAAGCGGTGTGAGCAGACCTACAGCGTCTGCCTGTGCCATCTGGGAAGGATCCCAGAAGATGGGATGCTCAGTCCCCTTCTGTTAGAGTCCAAAATATCCCTTTTCTGCTGTAGAAGCCAGTTGTGAAGGGATTACATTCGGACTTCAGCCAGATAATTAAACGCAGTTAGCGGAAAATGCTGCAGGGAGCCCTCCCCGCGCCCCCCGACCCTGCATCACCCCTGGCTTCTTGGTCCAAGATTTGATTCCCTTGGCACCCAGCGCCGCCCGGCAGGCACATCCCGTCCGGATGCAGCCGGTGGGATTTGGGGGTGCCGGGTGCTTCCCCCGGGGCCAGAGCCAGAGGCAGCGCCCGAGGCAGCGCCCACCCTGCCCCGGCACGGCTCTGCCTCCGCCTGCCGCGCCCTGGCAGCGCCGGGGCTGCTCCGCATCCCGCGGCTCCCCGCAAACCTCGGGAAAACTCTCCCGTCTGAGGCGCACCTTTTCAGTATTCACAGAGAAGAGTACAGTCACATATTCCTCTCAAAGCCACAAGGACTTGACTAGAGCTAAAATGTCATTTATGTACATATCACAAGCGTTTTTCTAGGCACAGATGTCTTTCTGGTGCCAATATGCTGTTTATGTACTTATCTGTCACAAGCACATGTCTACATACATATGCCCTGCTGGCAGAGGCACAGAGCATTTTGAAACTCTTATTAGACTGCTAATGAATAATACGCATACAAAGGAGAAAACAGAAGGTGGGTCTATCAGGAACAGCCTCTTTCTTAACTACCTTTTAATTGTAGGAGAGGAAGAAAAGAGATGAATTTTGATATGTTGGCATCTGTGAAGGCCTGCTTAGCAGCATCCAACGCCATCATTTTAAAAGTGGATTTTTCACAGGTTTGGGTATTTTGGGGGGAGGGGAGGATTTTTTTTTTTCCCTCTTAAAAAAAAACCCCACAAAATTTTGACACTGAGAGTATTGCAAATCCTGGTGCCAATGATGTATGATAGTGTGATTGTCACCATGGAATGCTGAAAAGCTCGAGCAGCTGTTTGGCATATTGACAGTGCGAATTTAGAGCGTTTTAAATGCAAATGACAGTATTCAATTGATCGCAGGAAAACAATGGGTCATAGCCTTACCTTTCCTTGGCTATGCTCTGAATAATCAGGCTGCAAATCCATGCACAATAGGGATATTGTACACGTTCTGGGGATTTTGTTCCCCGCGTTCATAGGGGTCGATACGATGCTTCTTTTGGGCAGAGCTGAAATAGAGGTGCCGCTGAACCGTCCC